GCCACCTCTCCAGCCCGGGGGACAGGCTCTTCCAGGGGACACAGGGGCACCCCACCATGCTGTTCCCTCGCAGAGGTGGCCAGTGCTGCCCCCTCCCCGGGAAGAGTTTGCCTCTCGGGAGGAGGCACCAAAGCTGACAAAACCACGGGGGTGTTGGGTGGTGCCAAGGGAAACCAGGCGAGCACACAGGGCAACAATGAAACTCAGTTATAGCTTTATTTAATAACTGGTACAAAGTCCTCCTCAGGCAGAGCCTCCCAGTCCCATTCCCTTCCCGAAATGGAGCAGAACACGAGCGTGACCCCGCAGGAGCTGGCTCCCAGTGAGTCAGGACTGCCCACCGGTCAAGAAAGGATGTTGTGCTCATCTCTCGAGACCTGCAGTAGCCTGACCACGCATCCCTTTTCTTCCATTAACAGCCAGACCCTGGGGTGCAGCAGGCACTTGCCTCCCACCCTCTGCGACCCGGCCAGATGTAAAACCAACAGAACTGTGAATCCCACAAGGACAGTAAGCAGTCCCGGCAGGGAGGCATTCACCACTCACGCTTCCGATGCGCCTCGGGACGTGTGCCTGGTTCCCCCAGCCGTACCTCCTGAGCCTGGGTTAATACCTGCGCAGACACCCTGCCTGGGGCTGGCGGGGGGGCAGAGCTGGCAGTGCAGATGGCTGGATCTCGCCTGGCAAGGGCACTGCTGCCTGCTGCACAACATACTCGATGTCAGAGATTCACCCGTGCCAGGGTGCAACAGTGAGTAGGTGGTAACTGCGGCTGCCCTTCTGCAGGAGGGTCAGCAGGGGCGGGCTGGAAGCCAGGGCTGCTGTAGTTTAATCCCTTGTACCCGGTTAATAGTGCACCTCGGTTAGTGTCAGTGTACGTGTCAGCTGCTGTGCCCCCTCAGGAGGCTCAGGTAAGAAATCACTCTGCTCCTTCCCAACACGTATACAGAGATGAGACCAAGACAGTATTTCCGATCATTTCATTTCCCCACGGCTGCCTGGCATGCTGAGAGTCCTGGGAACACAAAGACCTCCTGGTGGGTTCTGCACTCCAGGCACAGCGCTGCCAAAGAGCATCTCCGGCGCCTGGAGTTGCACATCATCGTGGTCCTGCTTCGCATGCCCACAGATGCCATACCAACTGCACCACGAGGGTCCTGTAGCAAAAGCACAACTAGAAAGCAATTCTAAACCTCACAAAGCCACAGAAATTATATTTAAATGAAGAGGGGAGACAACGGCTGTCATCTGGACTGATACAGCACAGACAGGAAATGGGGCCAGCATGTACAGTAACATGACTTACTAGGACCGCGGAATGTTAACGAGTTTTAAAGAGGCTCCGGCGCCAAGGGCATCCAGAAGGGACCAAAGTAATGCCAAGTACAGACTACCAAAGAGGTGGCAGCTCAGATGGGCATGCACAGGTTAGAGAGAACAGTTAATGCCACGTCGGATGAAATGCTAGATTCTGAGTGGGTTCAGTGGGGGCGAGTGGAGTTGTCTGATTCCAGAAGAGGAGCTCCTGCCTAACAGGATACTTCCATGGTTTGAGGTGCATCCTGGAGGTCAATTCCTTCTGGAGTCCCAGCACTTCCTTCACCATGGTTGCTGGTATGAGACCGGCTGCGGACGCTCTCGCCAGAGCCCACGCTCGAGGAGGAGTGAGTACGGGAGCGCATCAGCCTGGTCATGCTAGCTGCTGGCACTGCAAGAAAGAACAGGCGTGGGGCTTAGGAAAGGAGGAGCTCCTAGAGCAGTATCGCAGTCACTCAGGTACGTCACTGGGTAAGCGCAAAAAGGGCTACACCCTCCGGAAGAAAACTCACTCTCCACTGCCAAAATTAAGTCTTTGCACGTCTAAAGCAAGATGTTTAAGGCCCAATTTCAAAAGGTCCAGGGTGAGCTAATGCCAGAAGTGTAACTGATCATTTGCAAGTGCAGTCACGGTGTCTGCGCAAACCAAGGCGGCGGGTGTACGATGACCTTTTGAAAGTCAGTCTCGTCACTCTAGAAAACCACAGAGCTGAAGTCATGCAACAACCAACGAAGTACAAATGAAAGGTGAAAAACCGTAGCATACACATTGTATAATGAATCAGCCTAACTTGCAGCAGGACATGCCGAGACAGAGCGATGCACCCGAAGGATCATTCAACTCAGTACACAGACTTGGGCCGAGGCAGATGCACAGTTGAAGGTACCTGACTCAGTGCTTAGGTGGCTGAGCTGCACATAAGGGACTGGAAACAACACGAGACAAGGAAAGGGATGAATACAGGAAAGAGCCAATTAGTTACGGTGTGTGACTAGCAGCTGCACTGCTCCTGGGATACCCAGCTACTGTCCCTTCCATGCCCAGTTCACACACTGTGCTGAAAGCTCCCAATATTTGGAAGAACAGCTGCTAACGAGCATCTCCGGGAGATGCCAAACTGACTCAGAAATCCATCAGGGCCACATCTCTTCAATGCCTTTAGCTGGAAATGGCAAGCCAACCCTACCTCCCCATGGTAGGGGACCACAACTGCTCAACAGAGATGTCATTTTCCTGTGTCAGGGAAACTGGGCAATACTCTAACTCCAGCTATGGAACTGAAATTCGTGTCTTCCCTTGAGTGGACAGCATCAGATTTCTGCTACAAGCCTCCTGCAAGGCACGACCGTCCAGCTGCAGCTCAGCACAGGCAGGTCCAACTGGTTCAGCCAAGGTGCGGGATAGCTGTTGAGCAACTGGCTTGTGCACTTCTAGAAATGGCAAGCTGCTCATCTGCCGCTCTCCTGTTCTCCCCAAGAGAGGGAGGAGGCCTTGCTGGCCAAGCTCTGCAGTGCCAACACAGTCTCACCCACCCAAACTGGGAAAACCATTTTGGGATTAGCTACTAATGCTGGAAGTAGAAAGAGGGGCCCTGCCTCCCTGCCATTCCGCAGTCCTGCGCACCCTGTCTGAGAGATCTGACACCCACAGCACTGACGTCCTTGCTCTGATGGCAGCACTTGCTGACTTTACTAACACCAGGAACAGAAGACATATAAACAGAAATGCTCTCTGGCTGTGAAGCTGAGGGAGCCTTCTCATGGCACCTTCCTCTGCAGGACCAGGCTCTTCTGGCCAGCCCTGGAGAACACAACTGTCCCGCTGTGCTCATGTCAGCTACACACAGCTCTGAGGAAACGGACAGTTTTTTCTGAGCCCTGATGCCCATGAGTTGGCACAGAACTTCTGGCTGCCTGGAGACCACGGGGAGTGTCACAGCTGCCATGGTGACCATCCTTAGTGGTTAACCAGTCACATGAACCAAGCCCTCCCTAATTCCAGTTTTTGAAGGTTCAGCACCCACAGAAAGGAACTCCTAGCCCTGGCCTCTGGCAGGCAAGGCAGAGCCGTGCCAAGGTGCCTGCAATGGAGACAGTTGCTTTAGTGCAGAGAGAAGGGCTTCTCCTGAAGTCCCCTGTCTCTGGAGTACCAAGGGCAGGGGAGCTGAGCAGCCTGACACACTCAGGAGACAAGGACTTCTGCCCCAAGCACAGGGAGGAAGCCATGGGGCAGGGCACACACTGGATTGTAACACCGCTCCCTCTGGGCTCCCCGGGTGTCAGAAGTCATCCAGCTCTGTTCTGCCATTATAGGGTTTCACTTCAAAATTCTGCTTACCCCTGGGGAGAGTCTGAAAGAAGTAGGTATGTCCGCGGAGAAAGGGAAGGGCTCGCATGCACCCATCCCCACTGCGAGGCTGTACGGCTAACTCCTCCCCCTCCGGAGAGGGAATGCACAGAAGATTTCAGAAGATTTACCATTCTTGGGAGCATGCTCTTCTGGACTGGCACAAGGATGGACTTACAATGTTTTACCAACACCAGCAACCAAAAAGGGGTCACCATTTGCAGTGCGGATTACACACGTCAAGGAACAACACTGGTTTGCTACGACTGGCTAGCACACTAGTTGTTTTCCAGCACGGATGGCTCTCCTGGTAACCACACTAACTCATGGGTAGGGACACAGATGCCAATGGGCTCAGATGGACCAGAAAGGCTGAGCTCCCTTCACAACAACCCCGCGCCAAAGCAGGAAATTGTGTTTGCCACTTACTGTAGCCCATTCCCTGCACAAAGTACTTGAAGGCTTCTGTCAGCTTGCCAGGCTGTGGAAACAGAAAGCGTGGCTTTAGTGCAAGCAGAGCGAGGGACCTGGTACAACCCAAAGGCCACGGGGGAGTCAGGAGGCATTCCTCACCTGAACCACCTGAGGCAGGCCCCCGCAGTCAGCCATCTGCAACAGGAAACAAAAGGGGGGCTGAACCATCCCAGAGCCGCGCCATCTCCCCCACCCCGCCGGGGCTGACGAGACACCCTTCTGCCACCTTGTCTCCGAAGCCAAAGCAAGGCCTGGTGACGTGTGTTCGGGAGCCTGTGGCGGAGCGATCCCAGCGCCTTGGAGGCTGCGTTACCAAGCGATCTCATGCCACTCCTCCCAAACCTGCCACTTTGCACTGCTACACAGCAGCTGTCAGCACACTGTGGAGCCATGGGTAAGGATGGGAAGGGCCGGCATAAAGCTAGAAAAAGTGACGCTGTCACTGGCGGAGAGCTTGGTGGAGGCAGGGCACCTCTGCTAACTCCCAGCAGGTCTTCCCTGCTTTAAAAGGTATAAAGAAGTGGCCATAAGGCAGGGATTCAGGGACTCCCCCCGACAAACTCTTCTCTGCCGAATCTATCTCCGTGCAGGAGAGAACACAGCCCCGAACGACTGTCCACAAACTTCTTAAAGCTAAATATATGGAAGGCAAAAACCTAAGTGGAGCTGGCCTCAGCAAAAAGAGGGTCTTTGTGCAGGCTGCAATGATTCTGGAGTGGCACTCACCTTCAGAAGGGTAGTTTTCGTTGGGTCAAGACGTGAATTGCATTCAACCTAAAACAAAAGGAAGAAAGAGGGACATGACATCACAAAGAAAACTTGAAGTCAGATGTAAAATGTGGGACAGCTGCACCAGAGGCAGTGTCTTCAGCAACAGGAGATTCTCTGGGACCAAGAAGGACTGAGCAAAACAGCAGAGAGCACATAGGAAGAGAACAATGCATGGAAGATGCAGGGACAACAGGCAGGTGTTCCCCCAAGGGGACCTTGTGGTGACAGAATGTCAATGTTCTAAGATGCGGCTACGACTTTACAGGAAATCATCCCCTGGTTTTGGGGGTGGACCATGAAATTTAAATTTAGAGTACTTTCTGGGCTCTGACAGCAAGACTGGGAGGGAAGGAGACTTCTGTGCAGTGCAGCACTGAGGGAGATCACTCAATCCCTTGGCCAGACAAGGAGGCCACAGCCACCTCTTCTCTGTAAAGCTGCTGCAGAAAAGGAATAGAGCAGGGCCCTGTAGGAAAAGCAACCTCAGTGGGGGAGACTGTCATGAGCTGGGAACCTGGGCAGTCAGACAGGCAAGCAAAGATCCCGAAGACCCTACCCTGTCCCCCAGCTGTGGCTGGGAAGCAATGAGAATCCTTGGAGACAGTATCCTAGCAAAGTCAAAACTTGGAGAATGTCTCAGACTTCCAGACCAGACTGATGAAAAGGCAACAAGGCCACAACCAGAAAAAGCCTGCAGCAGTTCTCCATCCACAACTCCTAGGTACAAGCTACTGCTTTAGGAGACTCCTACAGTCTTCCATGGTTTCTTAAGACAGCTTCTTTTGTTCACAGCCCCCTGGTCTCCCCACAGTCCATGGCTGAAGGGGAGGAGCAACGTCCACACAACCACACTGCACAGTGCCATACCCCATTTGTAACTGTGCTGGGAGGGAAGTGGGTTATAGATGTCTGCAGAGAACAACAGGAAGGAAATGCTTCTGTGTGTTGCCTTCCCTATGATGCAGTGCTTTTGCAGAGCTCTGTGTTACTCCCCAACACAGAAACTGGAGTCACACTACTTATTTTTAAACCTCAGGTAGCCTCAGTACAGCAGCAAGTAATTCATGACTTGAACTGAACTCCAAGCAGCAGATTGGCAGAACCCGGGGAAAGACGTTAAGTTCCTGAAAGTGGTCCTCTGCATCCCCTGCTGAGCAAGATGCTTGGGCACAAGGACTCTTGTTCAGGTCCTGCCATCCTCACCGGAGACCTGTCCCACAGGGCCATTAACTCTCCCAAGCCTTGGCTCTCCCACCAGTGACTGACAGCTCTCAGCAGCTGAGGGACCAGTAAAGAGCCTGGGACAGAGCCACCTTCTGTGACTAGTCCTGGGTGAGGCGAGAGCTCTGCTGGGCAAGGCAGGTTGTAATGACAGGAGAGGAAAAAGTTCATGTATACGTACCACTGCTTCCACGGCAGGTGAGCTGTCACCAACCACTAGCAAGGCTGGGCACCTGGTCAAAACCCAAAGCAGAGACATTACTCACAGCGCATCTAGGGCATTTCTGAGAAGGCTGAGCTCTGTGAACCAACAGCCTCATGAATGGTTAACAATGCTCACCAAAACCCCTACCTGTCACCACACTGTGGCGTTTTCCAGAGCTTGCATGTGCACCCATACTGTCCCCTCCATGCACACCACCTGCCACTACTGCTGCACACGCATTAGAAGATATGCCTAGAGCTGGGCGAAACACCATCCCAGGCTGCAAAAGGACGCGTGCTCTCGGAAATGAATGTCTGTTAGGAATTTAAGAATAACCACCTTCAACAGAGTTTAATGCTGCTGAGGCTGGCAATTGCTCAGGACTCTTATTTTGGTTTGGTTTTTAGAAAGAAAACCAAAAGATGTCAGGGAATATATTGAAAAATGTCACGATATCAAAGCCTCTGCTGGCAAATCTGTGCCTTCACAGCCATTTGTACATGTACTGTAATTCTAGAAGAACAATTAACATTCAAGGTGTAAAAGGAGGTCACAGCCCAAGTTCATTTTCAGATGAATACAGTGGCTAGAGGCCCCACTGCTGTGTGTTGACTAGGTGACAAAAATAAGACTACAGTGGCTGAGAGCCACAGACCTCAGAGCCAGTGGAGTACCTCCTCTATGGAGACAGAGGATCTATATCCAAGCCTACTGGCACAGAGATCCACACTTCCACAATAAGTATTTTAAGGATCTGCAGATCCCTGTGAGTCACTTGACTGGACGGACAGTGCTCTGTGGCTGGCAGCTGCCTGCATGACAGAGAGTGGTGTGACTGGCTTTGCCTGGAGATCAAGCAGGGAAATCCAACTCTTTTAGGTTAGCCGCGATCTAGAGGGTTTGGCTATGGATGCCTAAAACATTCCTGGGACTGGCAGGAGCAGAAGTCCATACAGTTTCCAAGGAGCAAAGAGCAGAGCCTGGGCAGCAGTCTCTAGCCCAGCCCAGGCATCCTGCCTCCACACTGCAATTTGCAATCTTCACATGCTCTACATGCAGTTAAGTTGCCCCTTTTGCTTTCTTGCTTGGAATATGAAAATTTACCTATACTTCTTCCTTCTTCCATCACTAGTTCTCTGGTGTCTGCCCCTTCTCAGCTGTACCCTCAACAAGCTATCCCCTCCCAGATGAGTCACTGCCAAGGTGGGAAAACACCACCGCAACCTCTGCATTCAGAACCCCCTGCCTGTGGGAGAACTGTGCAGGTAATGTTTTTCAGCAAGGTGGGGGAAGGCAGTCAGTGGCAACAAACAGAAACCTGCCTCCCTAATTTTTCATGCAAAACAACCAAACTAACAGCTCAGCAAGTACAGCGACTGCTGGGCAGATACCCTTATTCCTCTGATCCTGCCTTCTGGGGTGTGCTCTCATGAAAGAGCTTCCAGATACCTCTCTGCCCCGTTCTAGCTGACAGCACTGTGCTGCAGCCCAGGACTGTGAACAGCCCTCCCCATGCTTGGGCTTGCGGGGTTCTTGCCGAAAAGCAGCAACAGCTTGTCTGACTGGAAAGTAACTAACCGAGACAGGCCGATCGGAGCAACTTACTTGAGTGTTTTTGCAGTATTTTCATTGATGCCAAGAACTGGTCTCTCAATTTCCAGGTCTCTACGACTGAAAGACAAACCAGAACAATTCTGCATCATATCAGCAGGGGAAACTGGTTATTGTGGGAGCATCCAAAACCCAACCAGGAGTGCTGGCTCCAGCACCCAGGCAAGAGGTTATCACTCCTTGTGTCATGCCATGAGCAGAAGCCCCAGCAGTCACTGCTGGAACACAGGATCCATGCTCTCATGGCGAGCTCGCTGTGTGCCTAAAGATGAGGTGTGGAAGGGACATTCAGGCACGAGGGCTGAGCTTGGCTCAGGAAAACGGCTGAAGACTAGGCTTAGGACAAAGCTTCATAGAACATATTAGCCAATAAAGCAATACATATGGCAGCAAATCTACTGAGCAGGGAAGCTACGGGAGCAATCTATCAGGCAAAAAGGTATCCTGTACCTGTTGTATGAGGTGAGGAACAGCTGAAGGTTATCTTGGTTAATGTCCTGCGCGATGTGAAGCCTGTATGTTTGGATCAAATCTAGATTGGCCTGCAGTTCCTCCTGTACAAAAGCAGAAGAATGGAAAGACAGGGAACATCATCTTTTTCACAAGTAAATAATTGATACTAATAAAAATACTGAAGCGTCGAACTGCCTCCATACACATAATTCCCCTGTGAACAGTAACACAGAGGCAGCAACTCCAGACTGCATTAGTACCTAGGCTACATTAATTGTCTCTGGTATGCGTTACGTGCCACACTTTGGTAACGAGACTGCACTTTCACCAAAGGCCCCACACAAGCTGCTGCGGGAGTACAAGGGTATCTTGAGATGGGCTAAGTGAGCTCCTGAGCTTCAGTAATCCTTATACAATCACTCTGGTTTAGGAAGGTCTGCTGCTTATGCTTAATATCAAAGAAGCAAAGCCTTATAGGTAAGCTCTAAGACTGGGACCAAAGGAAAATTTAATCCCAACACCCAGTTCTATAAATAAACTGCATTGCATGAGAGCTACAGAGAGAAAAAGAACACAAGGAAGCATGCACTATGTATAATGAAGGGGTCTGAAAGGGGGAGAGAACAGCATGGACTCTCAGCAGGAGGATGCTACATGACCCCTTGCAGTGCTGAGGCGTTCTGTTGCAGGAGGGCTTCAGCTCAGGGACTGATCTGCTGCATGTCATCTCTGGTGTGCATGAGGCACAGACCCTCTTAGTTGCCCAGCAAGCTTGCTGGTTGGGAGCCAGCAAATCCCAAACAGAAGGCAATCTGGTATCCCAAGTTTTCAGGAGGGGCTGGTTTGCCTCTGTTGAAACAGAGGGAGAAGATGAAGAGCAGAACACAGCAGTTCAACATCTGGAGACTCCCAGCTGATCTGTGCTCTACTCACAGCACAGAAGCTTCCACGCTGGCTACAGAGAACCAGCTGCCACTTATTTCTGCAGACAGTTACCTGGGCACCACAAAGACAGGAGTTGTGGTGCTAGTGTGTGGGACCTCCTTAACGTGCCTGGAGGTGGGGCAAGCACAAGGATGCGCATGCTCCCAGCAGTGTGCAAAGCCCTGATGTGAGCTTGCCACGCAGAGAAAATAGCACTATCTGTGGCAACCCTTATTTGATGGACCAGAGCTATTTCAGAGCAGGTACATCAAGAAGTTATAGCTCCATGTACAGTTGCACGGCAATAGTAACACCTGCTGGGTACTTACATGGCCAAAATGATGTGCCAAGACGATGTCCACGATGTTGGTTGTCCAGCCTGAAAACTGAATAGTGGCGATGAATGAGGAGGAGGGAGACTAACTGGAAAACACAGTTTCATTACAAATTTCAAAGTAGCTCCTCAGAGTAAAGAAAGTAACAAAGAAACTACTCAAGCAATGTAAGAAACAAATGCCTGACTCTTGAGATGGGCATTCAAGGCTCCAAAGAAGCCTGTGCACACACAACACACACCACTCCAGAAACCTGGAACCCTGAATAACTGCAAGTGGCCAGAATAACAGAGTAATTAAAAGATTCATTCAAACTCAGCCAAATGAAGCCTGCAAGCATGAGTGCTACATCAGAGGAAAACCGAGTGCTCAACAGCCACTCATCTCCCAGCAGTTCACAAGGATTTCTCATTCACATTTGATCGATCACGCCCACCCCTGCTCCTATGGAGCAGGGACAGTTTTTGTCATAAAACAACAGATTCCTGTACTCTGTCCTTTTTCCTCTTACTCTACACACTGTTCATCAAGCTCTGTGGAGAGGAGATGTGCAGGGGAAGCAGAATCTCACCTTGGATGCTGCCCAGTCAATCCAGCCCTTTGCACATGGATCAACGTTAATAAGAACAAGTCCTTCCACTAGGTCGGGGTGGCTGAGCTGTGGGGAGAGAGCACAGGCACACTTGCAAGGGTGGTTCAGCCCACACGTAGGTCAGTGTCAGGTGCAGCAGCTGGAAAGCTTCTTGCAAAAGGAAGACAGAGTAAAATGAAGACTAGGTGGGGAGCTCCTTCTGTGCGGGCAGCCAGTGGCCTTTTCAGAGCTTAGCCCACAGCTGGCTCCTAGCCAGACCACACTCAGTTCAGCTGTTGGCACCGAGGGACTGACTGCTCACATCGCACACGCAGCCTGAGCAGGCCTTGCATGCATCTGGTGCAGCCAGGGGCCCTGCTCAGGCCCCGGGGCTGTCAGCAGTCACTCTGCTCTCATCTGGCACATCCAGGGAAAACCTGGACAAAATCCTGTGCCTGGAGAGCACCTCTTTCCACTCCCCAAGGAAGAGGCAGTCTCACAGTGGAGATGTGGCACCCTAAACAGAGGCCTGGGAAGCTCGAGCTGCAGGGTCCTCTGGCTCACTGGAGGGCAACCCCGCTACCCCCCAGGCTGCAGACATCCCTTTTCCCTGCTCTATCCTGGCACACCAGCACCTTGCAGTTTACCTTGGGAGGTGTGTGTGGGGAGCATGGGAACAAAATACTTTGAGAACTGCTTGCAAATATAAACGTAGCAATCTAACACAACCAGAGAACTCAGGTCTAAGCTCAATCCAAGACTGAAATCTCATGGCAGCTCTCCTGCTCCTTTGTATAGATTAGCACTAGTTAAGCAGAAGGAAACAACTCGCAGCAGGAAACTGTCTGCAATCCAGGCAGCGTGGCAAGGGCTTTCTGGCACTTCACTGAGTTGAGAACAAAGGTTTATTTGCTAATCTTCTCTTTAGCGAGACTGAAAACTACAAAAGATACAAAGTGCAAGGAACAGAGCGAACAGCAGTGCTTCACACTGCCCCAGGCTCAACCCTGAGCGGAGGACATGGAAAGCATAGAACTTTTTGCAGGAGGGGCAGCTGCAAGGTGAAGTGGCTTTAAGAAGCAATAATGGCCTAAATCATGGGCAACTACACTCAGCAGCTTGAGCAAACTTTATGAGAATGTCAGATTTCTGTGGTTTTGTGTTGTTTGGTTGTTTTAAACACTACTTCTGGAAGACTCAGGCTAATTTCTGGGCTGCTAAACTATGTCCACTGATTTCACATGCTTATAAACACTTCACTAGAGAGAAATGTAGAAGTAAGTACCACAATGAAGCTAGCACTCTCTTGTCAAAGGGTGAAGTGTAAAATCTACCTCCTTCCAGTGAAAAAACACATTCCTCATCAGGGCTGGTTCACAGCACATCACTAGATCAATTGTTCAGTGTCACAAACACTGGAAACAGCACACAGTAGCGCAGCCAGTCTTTGTGAAGACGTGAGACTGGATATTCCTAGCAGCCAGGATAGGCTCTGCTGACTCAAAGATATTACATTAGAATCTTTCTGTGTCTGGCATAGTTTCAGAGTAACCTTGGCTGCTCCAATTTAACCATCTGGATGCAAAGCAGTTCTCACATGGTTCCCTGTAGGCCTACTGTAATTACTCGTGCCCCACAAATGGTCTGCTGGATCAGTGGAAGACCACAGCTCATCTAAGTCACAAGGAAATGCAGAGATACTTACTGCACACCTGCTGAGGACATAAGCACCAGCTCCCAGTCCGATCCCAATGAAGCTTTTCAGGCTGAAATACAAGCATTTCACAATCAGCAAGGCTAACTTAAGCTCACAGCCGAAGCATCCCTAGAGGCAAAGTCTCTCCCCTCTCTGCATCCAGCTGTTCACTTATGTTCATTTTCAAACCAATCCAGCAATGATGCAGCAGCCATAAATTGTCTCATGTGGCAGACAATGTTCCCAGCATAAGAACCAGTCAGGGTTACATAGGTCGGGAGATGCTCAGGCCTCTTGGGACAACTCAGTGAGCGTATCAGATGTTGCAAGCAGAGAGAGGTAGGTGCTGGAATGACTGTATCCAGCTGGCTCACCCTGTTTCATTTCAGAGACTTACTTCAGGTGTGTCAGAACAGCAGGCAGCATTTCAGCCAGTTCATCCATACTGGGATACTGGTACCTGAAAACCAAGAGAGACTGAATTCAAAGCACCTCCAAATACAGCTTGACAGAGGTTATCGCCCAGTTCTACCCAAGGTAGGAGAAACAAGGAACATCTGTCAGGCATATGCATAGGTGACTGTTTTGCAATGATACTGTACATTCCAGCCAACTCTATGGATCCCATCCCTCAGAACAAGACTAACACAGAACAGTGGCTTTTTGCACAGTCAGACTTCTGTGGAAGGATGGACAGATGGATCAAGGAACGCCAGCTAGGCTGCAGTGTGCTGGGCTCATGCTCAAGTCCGAAAGCTGCTACCAGCACTCAGCACTAGTGATGGCTTTACCCATACCTCAGTAATAGAAGAGTTCCCTGAATGCCCTTTAGGAAGCCATTTCATAGAATCACTGAATGGTTTGGGTTGGAAAGGACCTTAAAGATCATCTAGTTCCACCCCCCCTGCCATGGGCAGGGACACCTTCCACTAGACCAGGTTGCTCCAAGCCTCATCCAGCCTGGCCTTGAACACTTCCAGGCATCCACAGCTTCTCTGGGCAACCTGTCGCAGTGCTTCATCACCCTCTCCGTGAAGCATTTCTTCCTGTTATCTAATCTAAACCTCTTCCCTTTCCATTTAAACCGGTTCCCCCCTGTCCTGTCACTACAGGCCCTTGTAAAAAGTCCCCTGCTCCTGAGAGCTGCCTCCCATCACACTCAGCCTGTCAACCCCAGCTGGCTTAAATGGCATGCGACCTCAGTCCAGACTGCATCTGGAACAAGGGTCTCTGCAGAACTCTTACCCAGATGGGAATGGGGGGGCTCCTTCCTGCTGGCCTGGTGCATCCACATGGCACACAGCAAAATGCTGAGTGATCTCTTGCATGTCTTCGAAGTTAAAGAATGCGTTAAAACAGGATTTGTCTACAACAACAAAAAAGAAGAAATGAGACATTTCCTGATGTTTTATTGTGATCCACCCTCCAAACACCATGGCACACATCCGCATGAGCCCAACCCTGCTGCGGAGTCTACAGGCAGCGGATGCTGGGTGATGCATGCTGCTGCGCCCTGACTGCAATGCAGAGCGAGTCCTGGCAAAGGAACTGCCACACCTGGAGGGAAGGCAGACAAGTGACATCCCAGCACGCGTGCCCCAGGCAAACGGGGCCTTGCAGCACCTGGGTACCTGCAGTACATACTGAGGAGCACTTGTGTGAACATAACAGTACGTGTTGGGTGAGAAGACATGTGGAAAGAGCAACTGAGCCTGCTACAAACAAGCCTTTTAGAAAGGACTTGCTCATTTGCCCAGGAGCCAGGGAAAGGATGCTTTGTGGCAGCTCTAATCCAGCACAAGTCATCAGCTAGAGCACTAGCGTGTGGTGGATTGTTTCCACCTTGGCCCTACCCTTCCAGGGCTGCTGGAATGGATTGGGGCATGCCACATGCTCTATCTCCTGCAGAGCTTTCTTTTTTACCCTGGAATGACCTGTTCTGTCTCAGCTCCAGGCCAGTTCCACTGTTCCCACACACAAAAGCGATTACCATGAACAACCACTTTTTCAGGGTCCTGGGAATGCAAGGGCTTACGATTGAGGCCAATGTCATGGTATGTGAGGATGACAGGTCTGTTCCCCTTGGGTGTGCCCCGCATGGTGACATGGACCACTCCGAAAGCTGTCTCAATGTCATGTTCCTGCAGAGAGAAGAGAAGGAGTCTCAGTGTTAAGTGTGCTGCCTGTGCTACAGGGAACCCTGAGGGACAGCAGCAAGGGCCTCATCCACACTTTGACACTGCTCTCATATCCACAGGTACAGCTCAGTACAGCTCTTGAAATCTGCAACCCTGTCAAATCTCTCCAAATGCTGCCAAGAGCAAGTTGCTTTTGTACAGGTGTGTGAAGGGTTTGGAGCTGTGTCTTCCTGTGACCAAGACCTCATTTCAATGGCCTTTAGTGACACTGCTGTAGCACAGCAGAAGCTGGGTGCCATGTGTCCATCTGTCTCGAGGGGTTTGAGGGTTCATGGCATCACAAATGCAGCTCACTCCCACAGCCAAGCCCTCGCTCCCCAGCTGACATCCCCCTCCCTCTGAACCACCATCCCTTAAGTCTTTTTTCAGCGTGCCTCCAACCCACACCCCTGGAAACATCCTGTCCATGGGCAAACTGATGCAAGAGGACAGTCTGAGAGGCTGGCAGGAGCCTCAGCCCCTGGGGACCATGTACCAGCGTGTTTTAGAAATGGCATGACAACACAGAGCAGGCAGATGGCTGGGACAACAGAGACCCAAGCTCTGCAGATCCAGTGACTGGCAGCCTGGGAGGTTGTACCCATCCCCAGGGACCAGGTGGCAGCTCTTCCTTTCAACAGCATTAAGAAGGACAGATACAGATCCACATGTACCTGTTCTCCCAGGCTGCCTGTCTACTGCAGCCCCACCTCAGCCATCTGGCCAAGAGCCCATTGGACCTTGACCATGCTGCTGCATTCATGTTTGCTGACCTGTCACCCCAAGGAATGCAACCCCACCCCATTTTTCCCAAACCTGCCAGGCCAAACTGCCAAACTCTGCCCCTTATCCACCAGCTCTCTGGGCTGCTCTGCTAGGCTGGGCCAAGTCCTGGGGTTGTACTCCAGCAGGACATGTTGTGCAGCCATAGCAGTGGCCCTCACTTTAGTGTTCTCCACGTTCGCAGCTTTAACAAGTCCTCTAACAAAAGGAGCATCTTTTGGACAAGGCCAAGGGTGGCGACTGGCAGTGCATGCGGCTGAAACAGCCAAGTACGCAAACTCGTGGAAGAGCCCAGTGAATGTCAAAGCAGCTGGAGCTTGCAACCCCTGGTTGCACTCCCCTACTCATCTGAGCTAACCCAGTGGCTGGGTGGGCTGCCACTAAGAGCAGGTCTCTCTGCCAGCTCCGGCAGTTGTTGGTCTCTTCCATAAGCAGCTTTAACTCACTGACCTGGCAGGAAACTATCCAGCTATCTTTTTTTTCTTTTTCCTTTTAATCTTACTTTGTTAGATTTCTGCCAGGTCAGTGAGTTAAGAAGCTTGCAGAGAGGTCTGGCAAGTGCTGGTTCTGGCTCAGAGCCCGAGGGAAGTGCATGGGGTGGTAGAAGAAATAACCCTGCTCTGTGCATGAGGACAGTTAAACTGACTCAATCCTCATGAAACTGCACCTCCAGAGGACCAGGGAGGGTTTCACAGGCAGCAGCAAAAGGTCAACTATCAGACAGAAGCACAAAACCCAAACTGAGCCAACAGTGAGAAAAGCACAGACCTCAACAAAAGAGTTGATGATATTAAAAAAAGTCACCAATACAGTGCCCTTTTTGGAATTATATTCAAACCTAGTGCTACAGTCACACAGGCTTCCACTGGGGAGAATACTGGACAAGATACAAAAGCAGAAACACCCACCTCTCCTCAGAGCTTTTGTTCAAGGACCTCAATGTGCTCCATACTGCCACACCCTCCAGTTTTGTTTTCTGAAGTTGAGTTCGGGTCTTAACTCTCTAGTTGGGAAGGAAAAGTTTCCTTGAGCTAAAAATCTATCCTTACTCTCCCACTTACTTCAACTTTGCAGACCTTCGTTGTTTAGGGAGATGAGTTAGTTTGTCAAGGTTTTTCATGTTATCGCCAGGCACCAGCTCAATCTGAAGGGTACTCACCTCCCTACTCCTTCCAGCACATTAGTGATTCAACTATAGGGAATGTCCACTGAAGATGGAAGCAACTTGAAAAACCCCATATTCAACAAATCCCAGTGAGCAGCACTTTAAAAAATTTAAGATCCCAAGTCTGAAAACTTCTTACTCCGCCCTGTACAATGACAAAGCCTTAGACTGGGAGTGCTTAAGGTTACTTCTCTTTTCTCTTGCTAGTTCCCAAGTAAGGTGGAAATCCAAGGTGGGAAAAGTTAGTCTTTTACTTTTTAAGGCTTTTTCCAAGCTCTACAAAGCAAACAGCAGACATTACATTCGAGATAAGGGTTTCTACATTCACTTTTTTAGCTACACACTGCAACACAGCGCTGATCTTCCTTTCAGGACTACCTGGAGAGATAAGACTGTGTTTTACCCCCAGCCTCCCTACAGGTCCATTTTTCCAGTGAACTTTATTTTCTCTGAAACTTTGCCCTGTAGCTGCAGGGCATTTATCTTGACCTATGATTGCAAAGGACAGAAACATTGTCAGATGTCACACAATTACAGCACACATGACTTCCCCGTCACCTGCCTTTCTCCAAGGCAGCTCTCTCCCACATACCACAGCTGAAGGACAGCATGACGCTGATGCTTACTACAGAGCTTAGGTATCACGCTTAAGATGGCAACGAGTCTCTATGCTTACAAGACACAACTGCTACCTTGAATTCGCCAAAAAAGTTATTAGTTCATCGTAGAATCACAGAATGG